AAACTTCCTGGGACAGTTACAGGGTTCAGAATTGAGCTTGTGTTTTCATTTAGTCTCAGAGACTAGTACCTTTCCCTTTTGTACTCTTCCAGCTGGCCCAGACTAGCAGGTTCTTCTGCTCTGGGATAGCTCTTTGCTTTGATGGGAGCTGTTGATGCTTGTGGATAAATGCGTATGTCATCTACTGCGGCCAGAGGAGGGACACAAGAGCCAGAACAGCCACTGTGGTTGCCAGTTTTGAAGAGGAAGGGGTGCCCTAGAACTGTCATAATGGGGAGTCTCCTCACATGCAGAGCCACATCTTGATTCAAAAAGCTGCAGGAGGGGCGCCAAGGTGGCTCAGTTGGTTAAGCTTAAGCATCTGACTCTTGATTTTGGCTCAGGTCACGGTCTCAGGATTGTGAGATCAAACCCCATGCTGGGCATGGAGCCTACTTGAGATTCTCTCTCTCCCTCTCCCTCTGCCCCTCCCCCACTAAAATAAATAAATAAATCTTAAATTTAAAAAAAGCTTGCAGCTAAACGTGTGCAAGGCTAAGGAAAGCTACCTAGTGTTATTGGGAGGCAAACATGAAAGTCTGTGAATTTATCTGCATCTGCCCTTCTCTGTATATCACTCTGACTTATTTGTCCCAGTTTCCACCAAAACTATGTCTTCTCCCATCCTAAGCCTTGGCAGTGTATCAGACTAGTTGGTCATTTTAGTTACTGTTTATTGGCTACTTAGCATGTTTCTCACAGCTGGTTACACATCTTTCCCCTATTTCTCAAGTTCTCCATTCTCAGGGAATAATTGTCTCTTGATTTCAGAGAACATGACCTCCTTTCTCTTCTATTTTATTTTATTTATTTGAGAGAGAGCATGAGCAGAGAGAGGGGCAGAGGGAGAGGGAGAAGCAGACTCCCTGCTGAGTAAAGAGCCGTGGGGCTCGATCCCAGGACCCCTGAGATCATGACCTAAGCCAAAGGCAGATGCTTGACCAACTGAGCCACCCAGGCGGCCCACATGACCTCCTTTCTAAGGCAAACCTCTCCATTTGTGCTCCTGATTACCTTTCTCCTCTGGAACTTTTGCTGTATTATTTATCCCTTCTTTATCTTGTAACTTCACATTGTTCTTGAGTTATTTATTTATTTATTTATTTATTTCTCCTACAAATAATATTTATTCCTCCCATAAGTGGGATCAGGTCTCTCCCTTCCGGAAAACATCTCTTGAGTCTGATTGTCCTCTTTCTTATCTTTTCCTCATATTTTTGACAGTCTAATCTTTCTGACTCCTTTCTACCACTCAAGCCTTAGCCTCCTGCAGCTTAGCTACTGTCACTCTAGTGCACCTTCTAGAGTCACTAATTATCACACAGAATCAGGTATTCTTTTTTTTTTTTTAAGATTTTATTTTTCGGGGGTGCCTGGGTAGCTCAGTCAGTTAAGCGTCTGCCTTATGCTCAGGTCATGATCTCGGGGTCCTGGGATCCAGCCCTGTGTCAGGCTCCCTGATCAGCCAGAAATCCGCTTCTTCCTCTGCCCTTCCCCCTACTTCCCCCCACCCCGACCTGGCTCATATTCTCTCTCTCTCAAACGAATAAATAAAATCTCTTTTAAAAATTAAAAAAAAAGATTTTATGTATCTACTGAGAGAGCGCACAAGCAGTGGGGAGGGGCAGAGGGAGAAGCCGACTCCCCACTGAGCAGGGAGCCCAATGCCAGGCCTTGATCCCAGGATCCCGAGATCATGACCCAAACCTGAAGGCAGACGCTTAACAGACTGAGCCACCCAGGAGCCCCCAGGATCAGGTATTCTAATGTAGCTTCCACCTAATCAATAGCTAGATCCAAGCACAAAGGCTATGTGCTTCATGCTCTCTGTAGCATTTGACACTCTTGATGCTACCTCCTGAAACTCTCCTCCCTTGGATCCCATGACAACACACTATCCTAATTCTCCTCTTACCTACCTGGCAGCAACTTCCATATCTCTTAATGGCCCCACTTCTGCCTGCTCTGGAGTGTGGGTGTTCCCTTAGGCTCAGTCCTTGATCCTTTACTCTTCTCTGACTACATTCTTTCACTTAAAGATTTCATCTTTCATGGCTTTATTGCCTCAACTTTGAAGACTTCTGAATCCCCATCTCTAGTCCCACTCTCTCCCCTAGAAGACGTATTGAAAGTCTACATTTCTGCTGAACAATTCTATTTACATGTTATTAACACCTAAATATTGTTGAAAATTTCAGCATTTTAAAGCCAAGAGGTATCATTCATCCCCCTAATTTTTTAGATGAGGAAATTTAGGTGGCTTGTGCAAGACAACACAATGTGGGTACAAAACTCTGGGTTTCCAGTCTGGTGCTTTTTCCAGTGGTCACCAATCAAAATATTACCTTTCCTTTAAAGATGTCCTGTTCTTCCTTTTTATACTCTTTTTCTTCTGTTAACACTGTCTAAGCTACCATTGTTTTTCTAGATAACTGAACTTAAAACTTGGTGCCATTCAGTCACCAAATCCTTTATATACGTATATTTCTATATATAATATAAATATATATATGTGTGTGTGTGTGTATTTTGTTAAAGATTTTCTTTGTCAGAGGAGAGCACAAGCAGAGGGAGAAGCAGGCTCCCTGCCAAGCAAGCAGCCTGATGTGGGACTCGATCCCAGGATCATGACCTGAACCAAAGGCAAACGCTCAACCTACTGAGCCACCCAGGTGTCTCACCAAATCCTTTTTATTCTGTATTTGGAATGTCTCTTAAAATCCATTTCTTCCTACCCATTTCATTGCCACATCTTTGGCCTAAACTTTAATTATAGCAATAGTCTCTCTTACCTCTAATCCCTCTCACTGATACCAGATTACTTTTCCTAGAACAGTGTTTTGCATGTCATTTCCTATTCAAATCCTTCAAAGGCTCCTCAGTGCTTTGAGAAGTTCAAAGCCTTTACTCAAAGTCTTTGCTTCTCCTTCTGTTCCCCTACTTGATCCCTCTGTTCGCTTTTTTATTTGCCCTTGATGAACACTGTAAGACTTTTTAACTCTTGTTCATGCTATTCACCTTGCCCAGCCTTTCTTGCTTCTCTCAATTAAACCCTACCCTTCTTTAAGAGACTCACTCAAGTCCTTTTCCCAGTTATTCTCTCCACTAAACATGATATATAAGCTGTCTTTGGCCCTTTACTCCATCAAATGAAATCATGCACATAAAGTACCCATACAAGGTTTGGTATATAACAGATTCTCAAAAATGTTACTTTCCCTCTTCCTTTATTTCAAAAAGAATTTTATATTTTATCCCATTTGATTCCCATGACAAATTTTTTTCCCATGCCAAGTTTTGTGTGATTGAGGGCAACTACCCAACTCTGCCATTGTTGCCCAGAGCAGCCATATCTAATAAGGCAAACAAATGAGCACAACTGTGTTCCAATAAGGTTTTATTTACAAAAACAGGAATGGAACTGGATTTGACCTATAGGCAGTAGATTTCGGACTATGGGTTTAAGTGACATAAGACATATGAGTATCAGAATTTGGACAGAAATCAGATCTCTTAACTTCTAATCCAGTGCTTTTCCATCATATTATCCTTTTGCCTATATAATTTATTTTGCATTTATCATATGCTAACTTGTTTTACTATTTAAAGTTATGTCTACTGTACTGTCTTCTGGTGGTCCAAAAGGCACTGGAATGGTATCAAAACACCTAACAGGGGTGCCTGGGTGGATCAGTCGGTTAAAGGTCTGCCTCCCACTCAGGTCATGATCCCAGGGTCCTGGGTTCGAGCCTCACATTGGGCTTCCTGCTCAGCGGGAAGCCTGCTTCTCCCTCTGCCCCTCCCCTTGCTTGTGCCTTCTCCCTCTCGCTCTCGCTCTCTCTCAAATAAATAAAATCTTTAAAAAACACCTAACAAAGAGTAGGCATTCAATAAAAGTTTGTTAATAAGCCTAATGATGTCCCAGTCTCGCTCTATTTTGGTACTTTGAACCTGGCTTAACTTATAACACAAGTACCTGCTTGGTTTTTTTTTTTTTTAAGATTTCATTTATTTGTCAGAGAGAGAGAGAGAGAACGCGCACTAGCACAATCAGTGGGGAGCGGCAGGCAGAGGGAGAAGCAGGCTTCCCGCTGAGCAAGGTGCCCTGTGCGGGACACTTGTGTATCTTTCTTCTTTTGAGCCTTTCTCTACTGTTTTCCAGTAGCCACTAGGTCTGAATTTATGTGAATAACCACAGATGGATATGTAGAAGTAACATATGAATAAAAGAAAATCTGTTTCCACAGTGAAGAAGAAACAAAGGAGATATTTCTACTAGGTCTCACTGGGAGGCAAAGGGATAGAAGTTGTCATAAAAGTCTTCAATTCAGGGCGCCTGGCTGGCTCAGTCCGTGGAGCACGGGGCTCTTGATTTCGGGTGGTGGGTTCGAGCCCCACCTTGGGTGTGGAGATGGCTTAAGAACAAAAATCTTAAAAAAAAAAAAAAAAAAAAAAGTCTTCAATTCTAAAACCTGCAGGCGTTTCCCAACTCTTTGTTTAGTAATTTCACTTTATTTAGTCAAATGCCTGGGCATATGATGTTATAGGAAACTCACGGTATGTTCATTTCTTTTCCTTAGTTTTTAAGCAGATGAGGGTCGTGAAGCTGTTTTTTCCGGACAGCAGATCTCAAAGAATCTGTGTCCTTTGAGAAAACAGGAAGCGTGTTCAGGAAGCTTTGCCTATTTCTCTCATTTTCCTTCCAGAAAAAGAAATGCCTTAAATATCTATTACAGATTTGATAGGATTAGGGGGTACGGAATCGCGCTGACCTTCTCAGAGACCGAAGCATGAGAAAACGAGAACCTGTTTTGGGCGAATTTAAGGCAACGAATATCTTGCTTTGTCAGGTGTCGAGTCCGGGCTGGAGGCGTGGGGAGTCTGGCGCGGGGGCGTCGGGGAAGGGGGCGTGGAGAAGCCATCAACTGGAGCCAGGAAGAATGTTGCCATGGTTTCCAAGCAGTTTTTCTCCTTCCAGCCTGGATTTCTTCGCGAGGCGCAGGAGATGACGTCTTTCCGCTTCCGGCCGCGAGCTAGCTTTATGGCGCCTGGTTCCTGTGGGAGTTGGGTGAGGATCTGGGGTTGGGGAAAGCAAAGCGGGTATGGTGGGAGGGGAAGCTTGCGCGAGAAAGACTTCGTACCCAGCTCCCACCCCCAAACCCTCCTGGGGCGGTGAGCGGTAACTGGAGTACCCTGTGGCGCGACCGGATCCTCCCGTGCCCGGCCACGTACATCCCCGTGATGACGCCCTGCTACCATCTCTTTTCTTCCCTATGCTAGGGTTGTATTGGCAAAGAGAACTAGGCAGTCTTGATTATGATTAGCGTATGATCTCTGGGATATGAAGAATCCCACGTGCCCCTGTGTCCCTTGTTCCTGGGCACGTTGCTTTTCCAGACCCTGAGTAAGCCGTGCGGTAGAGTGTGCATTCTGCTCTGTTTCTCTTTCTTACCTGGTCTCTATACTTTGCCTTTATCCATTATCCTTTAGGTCCTGCAGAGTGAAGATTTAAATTCCAAGGTCATGGCAAAACATCTGAAGTTCATTGCCAGGACTGTGATGGTACAGGAAGGGAACATAGAAGGTGCATACAGGACCCTAAACAGGTAACCAGAATCGTGCCTAGACAAGCTCTCTTGGGAAGTGCTTGGGTGGTTATTCTTTCCCTTCCCCTGTCATAGATTGTTCTCAAACCTCCGCCAGCCCAGGTATTCAGCCTCTTGAAACTTTTCAGCCCCTTAGTTTATTATCTTTTTTTTTTTTT